AAAAAAAAATTGTATTATGAGGAACAGATTATCCAAACTTACGATGGTGATATAAAAAAAGACCTGGAAACCCTATCAGAAATTCTCGGGAAACAAAAAAGGATATACGAAAAATAGCCGAAATAAAATTAGCAAAAATCAGATGACCCCAACTCCCCACCAAAGAAAACAGCAAACAGACTCAATGATTTCTCTCCTCCACTATAGGGACAAAACCTTGCCAATAAAATCCCAGCTCAGATATCCCCCACAAATGACTACCTCAACCGGAACACCTACCCGAAAACACACTGTTCCTAGCTCCGACTACCCAAACGAAGTCTCCCTTATTATCACGCACTAAAAACACCAAGGAGGAGATTTAAATACCTTACCACCCTTTATATACAAAAAGTGTCCAAGTGTCTATCACAATCATTGCAAACACTCTTAATACAAATCCATTTGAATCCTACACCTTCCCTACAGTTACTCAAATAGCAGGGTCACCCCGATCCACAAAGGCGGAGACCAAACAGAGTTGAATAACATAGGCCCAATATCCAACTTTACACCCTCTCTCAAAAATCTTCGAAAAATTAAGTCCTAAACGAATTACTCCTACCTTATCTCCCAAAACATACTCCAACCCCTGCCAATTTGGATTAGGCCCTAAATAAAAATACTAAGGATGCTATTATACACATGCATAGAACATATATACACTGCAATAGAGAAAAATGAGTCACACGGGGGATCTTCATTGACTTGGTAAAGCTTTTGTACAGTTGACCATGACTTGCTCCACGGGGGTAAAATTATCACCACTATGGTATAGGAGGGCACTCCCTCAACTACCCTCAAGTCATACCTCAGCAACGAAGGCCAATATGTGTACGCAAATGGGGCAAACTCTTCTGCACAACCAATTACAGTTGGGTGTCCCCAGGGAAAAGTGCTTGGCCCTTTCTCTTTCTCCTATACATATATGACCTACCAAATGTTCTCAAATTCTCAAACCCACACTATTTGGCTGATGACACTCAAACATTCCGTCTTCTTCCCACCCGAGCCCAGTCACGGCTAGCCAATACTGTAAATTCCGAATACGAAAAATTTCTACCTGGTGAAAGTACTAAACAAAACTTACACTAAACATTGACAAAACCTACTTCATTCAGTTTGGTAAACAGAGTACTGATGTCCATTCTTAACATAATGATAAACGGAATCACCTATCACAAAGCTAAAGAGGAAAATTCGTAGGAATCCACCTTGATAATAGACTCAAATTTTCATACACATATACAACAAAATTCTAAGAAAATAATTTCCAAGGCTGTAGGCTACTATCGAAGGATACGGTACTATGCTCCACAGTCAGCGCCTCCTGGCCCTATATCACTCTCCTTTATTTACCCCTATCCTACCTATGGGAGAATTTGTTGCTGGGCGCCTCAACAACAAGTAACCATCTCAGACCACTAATTACCCAACAAAAGGCTGCAGTTAGGAATGATAAACAAATTCTCACTACAGGGCAGCACACTCCACAATATTCAATCACTCAACCTATCACCATACAAACATCCATACTTATTACTGCACTATTACATACATAGAACACTCAACTTGATATTAACCTCCCCTCAAACATTTCTCTTTTTGCAACTCAACAGAACACATGCCATAACACAAGGCACAGATCACTCTTTGATATTCCTCGTGTCCAATCTCACGCTATGCAAAAACTCAATGCACATAAAAGCCCTAAAATCTGATTTCATTACTGTAAATATAAAAGAATACACTACCTGTTTATTAAATTCAAGGTCTCTTCTCAAAGATCACTTACTCACCCAAAACCAAAATAAATATGAATAACTGAACCTTATAAATTGTATATCTTAAATGTTCTCACAATTTATATCACATAAATGTTAAACAAAACCCAATCTAACTTTATTATTTTTTAAAATTCAACTACCTAACAGATACTCCATTCTACTGAATTTACAACATGCATGCAACCATATGACCTGTCTTTGTAATACTCACTTGTGCTTTATAGTAATCAGTGGTACATTTAATGTTTTTCACTGATTTCATTATTGCTTAGTTTAATCTTAAGTTAATTTTAAGCCAGCCCGTAATGCTATGATAGTATAAGTGGCTTTTGGCATGATGCTCTTATCTGTTATTTTTTTTTTTTTTTTTTTTTTTTTTTTGTACCTCTGTAAGTGTGCTCAAATTATAATAAAATAAATATAAACCATATATAAATAAATAGTGCCCCCAAGAGTTTAGAGAGGTGTTTGGCGAGAATTCTTGAGAGCTGGTGGGAGCAACTGCCTATTCCCTGAGGATATGGGCCTCAGTGGGTACCAGCTTGTGAGTCTTCGGCTGCCAGAGCAGTCATTCTGGCAGTCTGGGGTTGGCTGGGGATGGTGTTGCAGAATTTTATTCCTTGTCTGAGCCCCTCTGAATGCGGCGAAGTCCTTTGAAGAAAGTTTTAGTAAGGTTGTCCACTGGTTAGTTGTGAGGAGGTTTGTAGGTATCTGGGTCATTAAGTAGATGAGCATTTTGTTCCTGTAATCGTCAGTGTTCATGATAACAAACACCACCTCCTTTATCAGCGGTGGTGACCCTGATGGTCGGTTGTCTTCTGCTAAACCTCCTTTGAGTGCCATTGATGTAACGTCGAGGTATGGACTGGGGGAGTTGCGTGTTTGAAGGATGGCTGCTGAGGATGATGCCTGAAGATAGCCTTTTTGAAGTCGGAGTCATTGTGTCTGTAGTTTTTGGTTCGCCACTCAGTGCAGTCCTGGCAAACCTATACATGAACATCATAGAAGCCGAACGTTTCTCCACCATTATTCCTTCGTCTGTCACTTGGCTCGTTATGTGGAAGAACATTCTCCTATAACTCCTAAACGCTTCAACGTTCAAGCTATCCAAGACAAGCTCAACCAGGTCGAGCCTTCAATCCCAGTTCACACTTGAAGAAGAGTCGACAACATCTTCTTTCCTTGATGTCTGGCCTGCCAAAGCTGACCACGAACTTTGTTTTAAAGTCTATCGAAAAACCCACCAACCAAAACGATCTTCTCCACTTCTACTCTCACCACGACACCAAAACCAACGTGGGTTAATTATAGGCTTCTTCCTGCGTGCACTCAGAATTGCAGCAACGAGTTCCTGAGGAAGAATGCACTATAATTGGAACAAATATTTTCTAAACTCCACTATCTCGTCCACTTCTCAGGACTGCAGACGGCGAGCATTTTAAACATTTCAACACACCCAGAGAAGACACTGCCGAGAAGAGATACATAGTCCTTCCCACCAACTCCATTGCCATAACATGTTTCCAACATTCTTTGCCAAAACATCATTCCCAAGTATCTACCTCCACAACAACGACATTCAAGGACATCACCAGTAGAGGCAGGACAAGCCTCATTCTGCAGGGGTATACATAATCCCTTGTAATGACTCTTGCTACAATATATAAGTGGGCAAAACATCAAGGGACTCCAAACACGTATTTCAGAAACACCAATACGCAAGCAGGTCTGACGACACAAGGAATGCCTGCGTACAACACCGTTATTCACACAACCACTTGATAAACTACAGAAACTCAAGACTTATCGCCACAGAAGACAACACTCAATACCGGAAGAATCCTGGAATCATCACTCATTTCTATACCGACAAACTTCAACCAGAATAGTGAGCTTCTATAAACATAGCTGAACCCACTTGCCTAGAAACTTACTCTTCATCGCTATCCCAATAAGAACGCTGTAGAAGGGTACTGCTTACAACTTATCCAATCTCCTTTCCAAGTACCTGTTTCCTTAAAGAGAGAGAGATGCTCTGCACAGCACACTAGCAAGGGTTCACACCCAAAATCTATTGATGTATCGGAAGACGTAAACAAGGTGAGGCAGTCTAGTAGTATTGAGCACAAGTGCAACCTTTTGTTTGCTGATGTGTTTTGAATGCCATCATTATATATAACTTCTCGCTTGCATTGAATACAGTCAGTTGTATTTGTTACAATTACCTACTTGTAGTTTCTTTCCTGAAAATTTTTGTTCTTTCCACATTATAAGTTAAAATAAATATGTTTTCCTGTGATGGTGAATACTTTTGCCAGAGATTAGATATATGTAGTATGAGCAGTCATTCTCACTGGTCCTTTCCAGTATTCACAATGAATACTTTCAATGTGATGTACAGGGAGTGCTCACTTAATGCCAGTTAATCATGACCTCTATTTTAGCTGTATAACAGCTAAATGGATGCCATGATTAATTGGCTAACTTTAAGTAAAAGTCCACCACACTTTAACCAAACTTTTATATACTAAAGATAAATTTGTTTCATAAAATAACAAACTAAGACAATAATTGTGGTGTGGTCATTGTGTTATATGTAATGGTGTCATGTGACTAGCAGTCACTAAGTATTACATTATTAGCTTCTTGTATATACAGTAGATAAGTAGGATGGGTAGGGATGTAATTTGGTAGATAATTTGATTTATAATAATAATAATACTTCAGCATGATATAAGGCCAATAAAGGGAAGATAAGACATTCTTATTATTTTGCTTAAAATGGTAGCTTGTACATAATTCATATTATTATTAAATCTAATAAGAGTCTCCATTTTCCCTATCCAAGGAAAACAATTATAGTTATGTAGATTCTTAGATCAGGAAAATTATAAGAGTTTACTCTTAAGTAAATTTTAGCAAAGTTAGGCTGTGATGGATGTGTAGACAATGAGTAACTCACAGCAAGAGACTAGTTGATCAGGCAAGCACCAGACAAACCTGGCCAAGGTCTGGGTTGCAGAAGTAGGAAAACTCTAGAAACTTGTCAAAGGTATATAAAAAGAATAAGAGAAATATGCATAATTATGTATAACTTTTGTCTGTAAGGAAGGGATAATGTAAATCTTTGGTAATGCCAAAACTGGACTGCAAATAACAACATTTGCCTCACAGACACCTTGTCGGCCAGTTCAAAGGAGATACTGCAGCAGAAGGAAATACATGGGCAAGGCACCCAACCCCAACATTCAGCCAATGCCTGCAAGTCTATTTCCAGAAGATGGTTACTGGCTCACATCATTTTATGACATCCACAATGACATGGAAACTGGTGAGTATTTTTTTGGAATGTAATGGAGAAATACCAAAGAAAGCAAAAATTTGTGAAAAGAGTCTTGCTAATAAAGATGGGAATCCCACAGATGATCAACCTACTGTATAAGCAGATTGTAATATTTTAAAGATTTTTTTTTTTTTGTGTGTGTGTGTACATACACATCTCTTTAAGGAAGGGGTCTCAGTGCCAGTAAAAACAAGAGATGAGTTGTTATTATTATGGACCTTCCTTGCATGGGCCAGTAGGCCTGTTACAATATTCCTTCTTTCTTATATTCTTATGTTCTTATATGATGGAAAGGGTCTAGGTAGTAGGCTGGTAGACAGCAACTGCCCAGGGAGGTACTACTGTCCTGCCAAGTGAGTGTAAAATGAAAGCCTGTAATTGTTTTACATGATGGTAGGATTGCTGGTGTCGTTTTTCTGTTTCATAAGCATGCAAGATTTCAGGTACGTCTTGCTACTTCTACTTACATTTTGGCCACACTACACATGCATGTACAAGCATATATATACACACCCCTCTGGGTTTTCTTCTATTTTCTTAATAGTTCTTGTTCTTGTTTATTTCCTCTTATCTCCATGGGGAAGTGGAACAGAATTCTTCCTCTGTAAGCCATGCATGTCATGAGCAAGAGGCTAGTAACCCCTTCTCCTGTATGCATTACTAAAATTAAAAAGAGAAACTTTTGTTTTTCTTTTTGAGCCACCCTGCCTCAGTGGGAAATGGCCAATTTGTTGAAAGAAAAAGAAAGAAATATGGAAAGGCGAAGGTATTGGGATTATGGAGTGAATATTTTTAGGAGGTGTTAAATGTTTAAGAAGAGAGGAAGTCAGTGATATCCTGCATTAGGCAGGGAGGTATAGTATCTTTTAGGAGTGCGGAAGAGCTGAATAAGAGTGTGGGAGAGGTGTGTGAAGCATTGAGTAGAATGATAGGGGGGTAAAGTAGCTGATTGATGGAATCAAGACAAATATTAAAAGCAGGTAGAGATGTAGTTTTGGAGTGGTTGGTGCATTTGGTCAGAAAATGTATAAAGGGAAAGGTATCTAAGGATTGGCAGAGAGTATGTATAGTTCCTTTGTATAAAGGAAAAGGGGATAAAATGTATGGTAGAGCTATTATTGAAAGAATTAAGAGTAATACAAAGAGCAGCATTGCAGATTAACTAGGCTTTATTAACAGTACAGGATGTGTAGATCAAGTGTTTATATTGAATCATATAAGTGAACACACATACTACACACACAGTGTTAGGGGAGACATGATAATGACTTATAAAATGCTTGGAGGAATTGGCAAAGTGGACAAAGAGAGGATGTTCCAGACATGGGACACAGAAACAAGGGGTCACAATTGGAAGTTAAAGACTCCTCTGAGTCAGAGGGATGTTAGGAAGTATTTTTTCATTAACAGAATTGTCAGGAAGTGGAGTAGCCAAGAAAGTGACATAGTGGAGGCAGGAACCATACATAGTTTTAAGATAAGGTTTGATAAAGCTCATGGAGCAGGGAGAGAGTGAATTAGTATTGACCAGTGAAGAGGCAGTGCCACTTATAGGTGAGTACGTATGTATGTACACACACACACACACCAGGAGTCAGGAAGTGGAATAGTTTGGGAAGCGATGTAATGGAGGCAGGATCCATACATAGCTTTAAGCAGAGGTATGATAAAGCTCATGGTTCAGGGAAAGTGACCTAGTAGCAACCAGTGAAGAGGCAGGACCAGGAGCTTGGACTCGACCCCTGCAACCTCAACTAGGTGAGTACACACACACACACACACACACACACACACACACACACACACACACACAACACACCCAAAATCAACCTGACGACACTGGAGGACAGGAGAGATAGGGGGGACATGATAATGACATACAAAATACTGAGAAGAATTGACAAGGTGGACAAAGACAGGATGTTCCAGAGATGGGACACAGCAACAAGGGGACACAGTTGGAAGTTGAAGACACAGATGAATCACAGGGATGTTAGGAAGTATTTCTTCAGCCACAGAGTAGTCAGGAAGTGGAATAGTTTGGGAAGCGATGTAGTGGAGGCAGGATCCATACATAGCTTTAAGCAGAGATATGATAAAGCTCATGGTTCAGGGAGAGTGACCTAGTAGCGACCAGTGAAGAGGCAAGGCCAGGAGCTTGGACTCTACCTCTGCAACCACAACTAGGTGAGTACACACACACACACACACACACACACAACCCCCCCCAACCCACCCACCCAACCCCACCCCCCACCCAACCCACCCAACCCCACCCAACCCCACCCAACCCCCACCCAACCCACCCAACCCCCACCCAACCCCCACCCAACCCCCACCCAACCCCACCCAACCCACCCAACCCAACCCAACCCACCCAACCCAACCCAACCAACCCAACCCAACCCACCCCCACCCCACCCAACCCACCCAACCCAACCCAACCCAACCCACCCCAACCCAACCCAACCCACCCAACCCAACCCACCCAACCCACCCAACCCACCCAACCCACCCAACCCAACCCACCCAACCCAACCCACCCCACCCCAACCCAACCCACTCAACCCAACCCAACCCACCCACCCCACACAACCCACCCAACCCACCCCACCCAACCCACCCACCCAACCCACCCACCCCACCCAACCCACCCAACCCACCCACCCCAACCCACCCACCCACCCCAACCCACCCACCCACCCCAACCCACCCACCCACCCAACCCACCCACCCACCCAACCCACCCACCCAACCCAACCCACCCACCCACCCCACCCAACCCAACCCGCCCACCCCAACCCAACCCACCCACCCAACCCACCCACCCAACCCACCCAACCCACCCAACCCACCCACCCACCTACCTACCTACCTGCCTACCTACCTACCTACCTGGTGGAGCACCAGGAACACAACAAGAGTATAAACGCCAACCAGCGTGGATTCATGGAAGGCAAATCCTGTGTCACAAACCTTATTTTATTTATTTATTTATTTTTTTTATTTATTATTTGGACATGATACATAATTGTACAAAAGAAATACAGTGGTTGAGTGTACATGCCAAAAGCCCCTTGTATGCAGAGCATTGTGGGCAGACCTAAAATTAACTTAAGATTAACTAAGCAATGACTTGAGTAGTCAGGAAGTGGAATAGTTTGGGAAGCGATGTAGTGGAGGCAGGATCCATACACAGCTTTAAGCAGAGTTATGATAAAGCTCATGGTTCAGTGAGTGACCCAGTAGTGACCAGTGAAGAGGTGGGGCCAAGAACTATGACTCAACCCTTGCAACCACAAATAGGTGAGTACACACACACACACACACACACATACATACACACACACACACACACACACACACACACACACACACACACACACACACACACACACAACACACACACATGCAAACACACACACAGGATTTCACACCATCCTGTGAACTGACCATCTGAACCTCGCTCCTTCTCTCTCCCTCTCTTCCTATCCTAGCTAGAGACCTATCTCTACCTTTCTCACTCTTTACCTATATCTCTCTCTCTACCTATCCCTCTCTACCTATCCCTCTCTCTCTCTTCCCTCTCTCCCTCTAACATCTCTTACCTCTAACACCTCCCCTCCTCTAACATCTCTCCCCTCCCATTATCTCTCCCCTCTCCCTTTCCCCATCTCTCCCCTCCTCCCCCTCCCTCTCCCAATAGCCTCTCCCCTCTCGCTCTTCCACCCCCCCCTCTTTCCCCCTTTTCCCCCCTCTCTCTCCCCCTCTCTTTGCCCTCTCTCTCTCTCTCTCTCCCCCTCTCTTTGCCCTCTCTCTCTCTCTCTCCCCCTCCCTCCCTCCTCCCTCCACTCTCCCTCCCTCTTTCCCTCCCTCCCTCTCTCCCTCCCTCTCTCTCCCTCTCTCTCTCTCTCTCTCTCTCTCTCTCTCTCTCTCTCCCCCCTCTCTCACTCTTTCTCTCCTCCTCTCCTCCCTCTCTCTCTCTCTCTCTCTCCCCCCCCTTCTCTCCCTTCTCCCCTCTCTCCCTCTCTGCCTCTCCTTCCCTTCACTCTTACTCTCCCCCTCTCTCTCCACTACTCTCTTCCCCTTCCTCTCACTTCCCCCTCTCCTCTCTCACTCTCTCTTCCCTTTCTTCCTCTCCTTCTCACCCCTCCTCTCTCTCTCTCTCTCTCTCCTCTCTCCTCTCTCCTCTCCGTCTCTCCCTTCTCTCTCTCTCTCTCTCTCATCTTCTCTCCTCTCTCTCTCTCTCCTCTCTCACTCTCTCTCTCTCTTCTCTCTCTCTCTCTCTCTCTCTCTCCTCTCATCTCTTCTTCCATTTTTCTCCTCTCACTCTCCCCCTCCATCCTTCCCTTCCCCTCTCTCTTTCCCCCTCTCACACTCTCTCTCCCCTTTTTCCCTTTTCACTCTTCCCTCTCTCTCTTCCTTCTACCTTTCCCTTCTCTCTTCTCTCACAAAAAAAAATGGTGGGGACTCGCAGGAACCAAGGATCAGATGAGAATGGTTCTGGTAGGGAGGAGTGGATGGAGGAGCAGTGGAAAAGGATGGAACAAGAGTGGGAGAGAAAATAGGAGAGCTTTCTGAAAATATGGAGAAAGAGCTCTCTGTGAAATTGGAAAAGAGGTTGGAGAAGGAGACAAAGAATTGGGAGGCACAAGTCAAAACTGCAGTAGCCAAGATAAGGGTCCTAGAAGTTGAGATAAATAGGCTGAAGCGAGTTACAGGGGCAGTGACCAGAGAAGACACAGCATATGAAGCTGCGAGGCCGAACAGGAAGGAAGGAATTGTGAATTATGCTAAGGTCATATCAACCTGCCAAGGAGGACCAAGGAGTGAAAGGAAAGAACAGCTCGTTGCAGATGGAGAGGGCGATAGGTCGAATGCTGAGGCACAACCATGCTATCAAGAGCCACTGGAAAAAACAAGGGAGAAACTGACCACATAACAGGCAGATCCAGAGTCACAGAGGGTGAGGCAATGGGAGGAGGAAAGGGCAAAATCAGTGTTTATCCATGGGCTTCAGGAGAGAGAGGAAAGGACACACACTGAAAGGCAGCAGGAAGAAAGAAAGGAGATTGAGAAAATCATCACGGAAATAGGTGAAGAGATGGACGAGATTGTAAATTTTCAGAGAATAGGGGGTACTCAAGGGGAGAAACCGACCAATCAAGCTGATTCCCAGGACGGAAACAGTGCGGAACAGGATCCTCCAAGAGAAACCACGATTGAAATACTCGGAAGAGTACAAGAGGGTGTTCCTAGACAGAGACAGAACAAAATCAGAATGACAGCAGCTGAGGGAGAGGACAAAAAAGCGAAAGGAGCTAGAAAAGAGACAAGGATGGAACCAGCAGAGGTCAGTCAGAGCAGAAACAGAACAGCAAGGGCAAGCACACACACAACTATTCTCAGAACCATCAACCTATACACACCACTCCCAACACACACTACAATCCATACCCACAGCCTCCACCCAACACCCGAGCTATAGAATCCCACAGTATGCCACCAGGTCTCCCACCCTCACAGGCCCCCCAAACCACAGTGTTGGAAAGGAAACTGAAGGTATGGTACACAAACTCTGATGGAATAACAAATAAGTGGGAGGAGTGGCATGAAAAAGTCAAAGAAGCATCACCGGACATCATAGCTCTCACAGAAACCAAGCTTACAGGTATGATAACAGATGCCATCTTTCCAACGGGATACCAAATCGTGAGGAAAGACAGAGAGAACAGGGGGGGTGGAGGAGTGGCATTGCTGATCAAAAATCGCTGGAATTTTGATGACCTGGAGAGAGGAGACAGCGGAGAAGAAAGTGATTACATAGCGGGAACGCTTCACTCTGGAGGTCCCAAGGTGGTAATAGCAGTGATGTATAACCCACCACAGAACAGCAGGAGGCCAAGGCAAGAGTACGACGAGAGCAACAGAGCGATGGTTGACACACTGGCTAGAGTGGCCAGAAGAGCTCATGCATGCAGGGCAAAGCTCCTGATCATGGTGACTTTAACCACAGGAGATCGATTGGGAGAACTTGGACCCACATGGGGGCCAAGATACATGGAGGGCTAAGATGATGGAGGTGGTACTGGAAAACTTCATGTGCCAACACGTAAGGGACACTACAAGAGAGAGAGGAGAGGACGAACCAGCAAGGCTGGACTTAGTATTCACCTTGAGTAGTGCAGATATCGAGGACATCACATATGAAAGACCCCTTGGGGCCAGTGACCATTTGGTTCTAAGCTTCGAATACACAGTAGAGCTACAAGTGGAGGGAGAAGCAGGAAGGCCAGGACGAATGAAGCCAAACTACAAGAAAGGGGACTACACAGGAATGAGGAACTTCCTGAATGGGGTTCAGTGGGACAGAGAACTAGCAGGGAAGCCAGTTAATGAGATGATGGAATATGTAGCAACAAAATGCAAGGAGGCTGAGGAGAGGTTTGTACCCAAGGGTAACAGGAATAATGAAAAAGCCAGGATGAGCCCATGGTTTACCCAAAGGTGCAGGGAGGCAAAAACCAAGTGTGCTAGGGAATGGAAGAAATATAGAAGGCAAAGGACCCAGGAGAATAAGGAGAGCAGTCGTAGAGCCAGAAACGAATATGCACAGATAAGAAGGGAGGCCCAAAGACAATATGAAAACGACATAGCAGCAAAAGCCAAACTGACCCGAAACTGTTGTACAGCCACATCAGGAGGAAAACAACAGTCAAGGACCAGGTAATCAGGCTAAGGAAGGAAGGAGGAGAGACAACAAAAAAATGACCGTGAAGTATGTGAGGAACTCAACAAGAGATTCAAAGAAGTGTTCACAGAGGAGACAGAAGGGGCTCCAGAAAGACGGAGAGGTGGGGCACACCACCATGTGCTGGACACAGTGCACACAACCGAGGAAGAATGAAGAGGCTTCTGAGTGAGCTAGATACCTCAAAGGCAATGGGGCCAGATAACATCTCCCCATGGTATTGAGAGAGGGAGCAGAGGCGCTATGTGTACCCCTAACAAACAATATTCAATACATCTATCGAAACAGGGAGATTGCCTGAGGCATGGAAGACAGCAAATGTAGTCCTAATCTTTAAAAAAGGAGACAGACATGAAGCATTAAACTACAGACCAGTGTCACTGACATGTATAGTATGCAAAATCATGGAGAAGATTATCAGGAGAAGAGTGGTGGAACACCTAAAAGGAACGATCTCATCAACAGCAGCCAACATGGTTTCAGGGACGGGAAATCCTGTGTCACAAACCTACTGGAGTTCTATGACATGGTGACAGCAGTAAGACAAAAGAGAGAGGGATGGGTGGATTGCATTTTCTTGGACTGCAAGAAGGCGTTTTGACAACAGTCCACACAAGAGATTGGTGCAAAAATGGAGAGGACAAGCAGGGATAATGGAAGAACTGCAATGGATCAGGGAATACTTGTCGGAAGACAGCAAGCGAGTATGGTCGTGGCGAAACGCCGGTGTCAGAGTGGGCACCTGTGACCGCGGGTGTACCCACCAGGGGTCCAGTCCTAGGACCAGTGCTGTTTCTCGGTATTTGTGAACGACCATGACGGAAGGAATTGACTCTGAGGTGTCCCTGTTTGCAGAATGACATGAAGTTGATGAGAAGAATTCATCGATCGAAGACCAGGCAGAACTACAAAGGGATCTGGACAGGCTGCAGACCTGGTCCAGCAATTGGCTCCTGGAGTTCAATCCCACCAGTGCAAAGTCATGAAGATTGGGGAAGGGCAAAGAAGACCGCAGACGGAGTACAGTCTAGGGGGCCAGAGACTACAAAACCTCACTCAAGGAAAAAGATCTTGGGGTGAGTATAACACCAGGCACATCTCCTGAAGCGCACATCAACCAAATAACTGCTGCAGCATATGGGCGCCTAGCAAACCTCAGAACAGCATTCCGACATCTTAATAAGGAATCATTCAGGACCCTGTACACCGTGTACGTTAGGCCCATATTGGAGTATGCGGCACCAGTTTGGAACCCATACCTAGCCAAGCACGTAAAGAAACTAGAGAAAGTGCAAAGGTTTGCAACAAGACTAGTCCAGAGCTAAGAGGTATGTCCTACGAGGAGAGGTTAAGGGAAATCAACCTGACGACACTGGAGGACAGGAGAGATAGGGGGGACATGATAACGACATACAAAATACTGAGAGGAATTGACAAGGTGGACAAAGACAGGCTGTTCCAGAGATTGGACACAGTAACAAGGGGACACAGTTGGAAGCTGAAGACAGATGAATCACAGGGATGTTAGGAAGTATTTCTTCAGCCACAGAGTAGTCAGTAAGTGGAATAGTTTGGGAAGCGATGTAGTGGAGGCAGGATCCATACATAGCTTTAAGCAGAGGTATGATAAAGCTCACGGCTCAGGGAGAGTGACCTAGTAGCGATCAGTGAAGAGGCGGGGCCAGGAGCTCAGACTCGACCCTCGCAACCTCAAATAGGTGAGTACACACACACACACACATACACACACACACACACACATGCACAGTTTTTAATTTTCATAGTTTACATCTTTCAATTGTGTTTGAACAGTATTTTTTGTGCATTGTTAGATACTAAAAAATATTTAGGGGGATTAAAATATTTTTATATTACAGATAATGTAGATATTGTTAACGAAGATGGGGTGATGACCGGCTATGAAGAGTGGATCATGACTCCTTCAGAAAAAGCCAATGAATCAACAAATAAAACTGTGCAGAATGTTAAAAATAAATGCGATGGAGCCGTTCAATTTAAAGATGCACCTGACCATAGACAAGGTAGGCTTTCATATACAAATGTAAGTTTTTATTTCTTTTCAAAGGTTACAATGTGTGATTTACATTTTTTTTTTAAATATTAAGTACAAAGAAAGCCACTAACATGCCTGAGCATTTTGGGCAGACTAATCATTGCCTACACACTACTTAAAACTAGACATAGGTTATGGAGTGGTAAATTTTAATTATTCATTATATTACAATAGAGAGCTAGCCAAAATATTATAATTAATAAGATTATACAGGTCAGCCATTATTGATCCTGCAGTCACAAATCTGGTTCCATCACTAATTCAGCACTAATTTCAGCTAGCATAATTTCAAATTATGCTAACTGATCACTAATCACTAATACGTCTCCCTTTAGGTCCAGTGATGCCGGATTAGTGATGGTTGACCTGATGTAAAGAAGTAGTACAAAAAAAAATAACTGTATTACAATTAGTACAATTTATAATGCTACAACAGTACAGCTTTATGTGTGTATTAACATTTTATGTAGATCTAGCTGTCCTATTTTTTTTTATATTTCTTGAATAGTTTCAAACTGGTTAAATGATTTAGTATGTGTTGCTATAGTTAAGTTTGGGAGAGGAGATGTTTTTAATTATAGTCCTAACTTGACTGGCAGACAGGATCTTTTGCTGGTTCAGGCAATAAATTCCAGATCTTAAGGCTCTTTATGTGCATTGCATTTTTGCATAGAGTGAGATGGACATGAGAGATGTCAAAGAGATTTTTGTGTCTTGTCTTGTGCCTGTGCAAGTTCAAACTCTTGAACAATGGAGGGGTGTGTTGTCTGGTGCGGGAGTTGGTGATCATCCACAAAGATTTAATGTACATACAAAACCCAAATACATGTGTTTGTGTGTACATATGCATGTACTTTTCTGATAAAATCAATGATAAATCAAGGAAGGTGCTTTCTCATCATTATCCACGAGACCTCTGCAGGTTTTTGAGCATAATGTTAGCAAAATGTATGAAATAACATATAGTCTACAATACATACATACCTGTACTATCATTGACCACACTTTTAAATAAATCTTCCCCAAAATACTATAAAATTTTGGTTTTCTAGAGTGATCCCATTTGCTTTGTTGTATAAATATGCTCATGCACTCGCCCAAACCCAGCACCACTTGATTTTTTTTATAGCTATATCTTTTTAACCCTTTGACTGTTTTGGTCGTATATATAAGTCTTACGAGCCAGTGTTTTTGACATATTTATGCTCCAAAATTCTAGCGGCTCCAAATCAAGCGGGAGAAAGCTGGTAGGCCCACATTTGAGAGAATGGGTCTGTGTGGTCGGTGTTTTCTCATTATGCACTGCGTGCTGCAGCACGCAGTGCATAATGAGAAAAAAAAAACCTCCAGCCGTGCTTTTGGATTAACACACCGACTTTGAGGTGTATTTTCGTATAGTATTTATCGTTTTATTCTCATTTTCTTGGTCTCATTTGATAAAATAAAAGATATACATATTACAGAAATAGAGATGATTTTGATTGGTTTCACAATGAAAATGACCTTGAAATTGAGCTCAAACTAGCAGAAATGTTCGATTTTTGCCAATGTTCAAGAGTAAACAAATGACATCATTGTCCAGTAAGTGTACAATTAGCCATTCTAATATGCAGTCATGAATGGGTTGACATTATTGATACAATTATTACAATAATGCAGTAGTCTGCATAACAGTAAATCTTCTATTTCTTGTGTGAATAAAAATTCAAAATAGAAAACAAGAGTAATATAAGCAGGGCCTGGAGGCATGACTGATGGACAGAGAAAAATGTTATTTTAGTGCCAGGAATGTCTGTGTTGTTCTTTCTGGACCCTATTTTGAAATTGGCATCTTTTTAATTTGCGTGAAATTGGCCAACCTGCCAATTTCTGACCACTTTATTGGGTAGTTGAAATCAGTAATTGGATGGTTTCTTGTACTCAATGGATAGAACAAATGGAGTTTTAACCCTTTGACTGTTTTCGACGTATAAATACGTCTTACAAGCCAATGTTTCTGACGTATATATACTCAATAATTCTAGCGGCTTCAAATCAAGCGGGAGAAAGCTGGTAGGCCCACATGTGAGAGAATGGGTCTGTGTGGTCAGTGTGCACCACATAAAAAAAATCCTGCAGCACACATTGCGTAATGAGAAAAAAAAACTGATCGTTTTTTTGGAATAAAACGCCGACTTTGAGGTGTATTTTCGTATAGTATTTATCGTTGTATTCGCGTTTTCATGGTCTTAGGTGATAAAATGGAAAACATATTACAGAAATAGAGATGATTTTCATTACTTTGACAATGAAAACGACCTTGAAACTGAGCTCAAAGTAGCGGAAATGTTCGATTTTTACCAATGTTCAGGAGTAAATAAATCACACCACACATCCAATACACGTCAACTGGGGAGTCTGATATTCTTTCACTAGTGCACTGATATTATTTATACCATTTTTACAATAATGCAGTAGTCTGCATAACAGTAAATTTTGTATTTTTTTGTATGAATAAAAAATCAAAATAAAAAGCAATAATAATATAAGAGGGGCCTAGAGATGTGACTAATGAACAGAGCATATGTTATTTTAGTGCCACGAATGTCTACCTTGTTTATTCTGGACCCTATTTTGAAATTGGCATCTTTTTAGTTTGCGTGAAATTGGCCAAATTGCCAATTTCTGACCACAATATTGGGTAGTCTAAATTAGTAAATGGGAGGTTTCTTGTACTCAGCTGATAGATAAAATGGAGTTCTAAAGAAATAGCTATGAGTTTAGTCAACTGGAACAATGGAATTGGCTGAAAATAGGGCTCAAAGTCAGCGAAATCGCCGATACGCATATGTCGCCGAGACCGCTAACTTCGCGGGAGCAAAATTCCATGAGTTTTCGACCAAATTTCGAACTTTTGGTGTCATTACCATCGGGAAAAGATTCTCTTATCATTTCATAAGAAAAATAATAATTTTTTTTTTCAAAAATTGAGCGACATAGGATGACAGTTTCAGAAAGGGGCCTGAAACAGTCAAAGGGTTAAAGAAATAGGTAAGAGTTAGTCGATTGAAACAGTGGAATTGACTGGAAATAGGGCTCAACATGGGTGAAAAACGCCAGTGTGTAAATATTGCCGAGGTCGCTAACTTCGCGAGAGCATAATTCCTTAAGTTTTCCATCAAATTTCGTACTTTTGGTGTCATTAACATCGGAAAAGATTCTCTATTATTTCATAAGATTTTTTTTTTTTTTTTTTCGAAAAATTTGCAACACATATTTGCGACACTTTAGGATTTGGGGTCGCGACAGTCGAAGGGTTAATCCTTTTGGTGTCAATCCCATTATACAACGGCTTTGAAGCTAGGGTCTGTCCTGTTGTACTACACTATGAGCTCAGCTCACTCAGATAAACTGTGAGAGGTAAATTTGGGCCTACATATAGAGAATTGGTCTATATAGTAAGTTTTTTTTTTTTTTTTTTCCAACAAGTCGGCCGTCTCCCACCGAGGCAGGGTAAGTGTGCACCACATAAAAAAAAATTCTGCAGCATGCAGTACATAATGAGGAAAAAAAAAAAAAGACCATGTTCTTGGTTTAAAACAACAAATTAGCAGTGTCTTTTCATACGGTTTTTATGGCTGTATTCTCGGTTTCTTGGTCTCAATTGTTATAATGGAAGATATATTACAGAAATGATGATTTTGATTGGTTTCAGGACTGAAAGTGGCTTGAAATTGAGCTCAAAGTAGCAGAAATGTTCGATTTTTGCCAATATTCTAGAATACACAATACGCATCCAGCTTGCCAGTCTAATATGCATTTAGGAATGCACTGACATTATTTATATAATTATTACAATAATAGGAACATAACATAAGAAAGAAGGAACACTGCAGCAGGCCTACTGGTCCATGCAAGGCAGGTCCAATTCTCACACCGGCTTAAGTCAGTGCCTTGACCTAGTCAGGTCAGTCACATTCACTTAAGGAAGGAGCACGGCATCTGACCTAGTAGCACAGACTACTGAAGTAGTCTGCATAACAGTAAATCTTTTATTTTGTTTTGTGAATAAAAATTAAGAATGGAAAGCAAGCGTAATATAAGATAGGCCTGGAGACATGACTGAGGAACAGAGGAAATATTTTTTAGTACCAGGAATGTCTGCATTGTTTATTCTGGACCCTATTTTTAAATTGGAAATTTTTTAATTTTGTGTGAAATTAGCCGTATTACCAATTTCTGATCACTTTATTGGATAGTTGAAATAGGTAAATGGGCGGCATCTTATATTCAGTCGATAGAATAGAAATAATATTAGTGAAATAGCTATGAGTTTGGTCAACTGGAACAATGGAATTGACTAAAAGAGGGCGCAAAATAGACGATATCACTGATGTGTAAATATTGCCGAGACCACTAACTTTGCAAGAGTGTAATTCCATAAGTTTTCCATCAAATTTTGTAGTTTTGGTTTCACTACCTTTGTCAAAAGATTCTCTTATAATTTCGTAAGATAAACTAATTTTTTTTTAATCAAGCCTAAGAGCAAGTTTGAGATCAGGGGTCTTAAGAACATAAGAAAGAAGGAACACTGCAGCAGGCCTACTGGCCCATGCGAGGCAGGTTCAGTTGTCCTGCCGGCTTAAGCCAATGCCTTAACCTAGTCAGGTTAGTCACCTTCACTTAAGGGAGGAGCACAGCATCTGACCTAGTAGCACAAACTAGTCAGGTTCAACTCTCACCCACCCACACCCACTCATGTATTTATCCAACCTATTTTTAAAACCACACAACGTCTTAGCTTTTGTGATGGTACTTGACCCTGAAAAGGTTAAATATCACTCACTGTTGGTTTATATTGGCATAATAAAGAAAGCCCCTTAAGGAAATGCCGCCATACCAGTGAGGGCTTTTAATTGAAGACAATAATCCTATCTTCCCTTCCTTTGGATCAAACCTGATGCCTCCCATTTCTCCAGGTGTTGTATGACCCTTCTGGATTTAGAGCTTTGCCCTACCTAATATTTTTTTTTTTTTCAACAAGTCGGCCGTCTCCCACCGAGGCAGGGTAACCCAAAAAAGAAAGAAAATCCCCAAAAAGAAAATACTTTCATCATCATTCAATGTTTTCACCTCACTCACACATTATCACTGTTTCTGCAGAGGTGCTCAGAATACAACAGTTTAGAAGCATATATGTATAAAGATACACAACATATCCTTCCAAACTGCCAATATCCCAAACCCCTCCTTTAAAGTGCAGGCATTGTCCTTCCCATTTCCAGAACTCAAGTCTGGCTATATAAAAATGACTGGTTTCCCTGAATCCCTTCACTAAATATTACCCTGCTCACACTCCAACAGCTCGTCAGGTCCCAAATACCATTCATCTCTATTCACTCCTATCTTACATGCTCACACACGCTTGCTGTTAGTCTAAGCCCTTCGCCCACAAAACCTCCTTTACCCCCTCCCTCCAACCTTTTCGAGGACGATCCCTTCCCCGCCTTCCTTCTCCTACAGATTTATACGCTCTCCATAGTAGTAGGTTGGTAGACAGCAGCTACCCAGGGAGGTACTACCGTTCTGCCAAGTGAGTGTAAAACGAAAGCCTGTAATTGTTTTACATGATGGTAGGATTGCTGGTGTCTTTTGTCTGTCTCATAAATATACAAGATTACAGGTATGTCTTGCTACTTCTACTTACACTTAGGTCACACTACACATACATGTACACGTTTATTTATACACACTCATCTGAGTTTTCTTTGACTTTATCTTAATAGTTCTTGTTCTTATTACTTTTCCTTTTATATCCATGGGGAAGTGGAATAAGAATCTTTCCTCCATAAGCCATGCGTTTTGTAAAAGTCAACTAAAATGCCGGGAACAATGGGCTAGTAACCCCTTTTCCTGTAATAGTTACTAAAAAGAATGAGAAGAAGAAAAATTGCCCTACCTAATGATAATAAAAAAAAGAAAATAGATTTCATTGCGGGAAATCCTACGGTTGACTCTCAGTTTAACTCTTGCCTCAAGTTAAAATGAAATGGACATGCAGCCAGGTGGGCATAAGTTGTGCCAACACAAAGCGGGATTATTTTGCTTTAAAATTTTAAAGGTTCTAATGTGTCACTTCAGCCTGGTCAACAACAAGTTTTTGGTTTTTTCTAGGGAGGGTGAAAAAAAGAGATGGAATGGGGCTGAATTGTTGATTTTTTTTTCAACCAAAATTATGTTTTTAACATATGTGTATACATCTTTTTGGGTAATATGACCCTCCAAACACCACCACACCCCCACACATATTAAAAATAATAATTTTTTTTTTTATTATCACATGGGGCCCTTTCCCCCCAAGCAGGGTGGCCCAAAAAGAAAAAACTTTCCCTCATTCACTCCCTGAATGTCTTGCCGAAGGGGGCTTTCACTAAAGTTAAACTGCAACATTTAAACCCCCCCTTCAAGTGCAGGGACTGTACTTCACTCTCCGGCCAAGTCCGGGCCCGCCGGTTTTTCCGAACCCCCTTTATAAATTTACTTTGCTCACACTCCCAAAAGCACTCAAGTATTTAAAAACCATTTGTCTCCATTCACTCTTTCAAAACGCTCACCCTGCCTGCTGGAATCCAAGCCCCCCCGCACACAAACCTCCCCACCCCCTCCCCCCAACCTTTCCTAGGGCCCACCCCTACCCGCCTCCTTCCATACAGCTGAACATCTTTAATTATTCTGTTTTGCTCCTTCTCTCCACATGTCCAAACCACCCCAAAACCCCTTTCAGCCTCTGGGCAAAAAGTTTTTGGTTAAACCCGCCCCCCCCCTAATTCCAACTCAATTCTTTTTGCATTTATTACACCAAATTGCTCTCAGCATGCATCTCCCCTGCCTCCAGCCTTTCCCCCGCTGAACATTCATCACCCATGCTTCACCCCATATAAGGGCGTTGGTAAAACTATACTCTCATACATTCCCCCCTTTGCTCCAAGGACAAAGTTCTTTGTCCCAGAGACTCCTAAGTGCACCACTCACCCTTTTCCCCTCACAATTCTGTGATTCACCTCATCTTTCATAGACCATCCGCTGACACGTCCACTCCCAAATATCTGAATACATTCACCTCCTCCATACTCTCTCCCCCTCCAATCTGATATCCAATCTTTCATCACCTAATCTTTTTGTTATCCTAAATAACCTTACTCTTTCCTGTATTCACTTTCAATTTTCTTCTTTTGCAAAACCCTACCAAATTCATCCACCAATCTCTGCAACTTCTCTTTCAGAATCTCCCAAGAGCACAGTGTCATCAGCAAAGAGCAACTGTGACAACTCCCACTTTGTGTGATTCTTTATCTTTTAACTCTACGCCTCTTGCCAAGACCCTCGTATTTACTTCTCTTACAACCCCCCCATCATAAATATATTAAACAACCACGGGTGACATCACACATCCTTGTCTAAGGCCTACTTTTACTGGGAAGTAATTTCCCTCTTTTCCTACATACTCTAACCTGAGCCTCACTATCCTCGTAAAAACTCTTCACTGCTTTTAGTAACCTACCTCCTACACCATAAAACCTGCAAACCTGCCACATTGCCCCCCTATCCACCTTGTCATACGCCTTTTCCAAATCCATAAATGCCACAAAGACCTCTTTAGCCTTATCTATATACTGTTCACTTATATGTTTCACTGTAAACACCTGGTCCACACACCCCCTACCTTTCCTAAAGCCTCCTTGTTCATCTGCTATCCTGCTCTCCGTCTTACTCTTAATTCTTTAAATAATAACTCTACCATACACTTTGCCAGGTATACTCAACAGACTTATCCCCCTATAATTTTTGCACTCTCTTTTATCCCCTTTGCCTTTATACAAAGGAACTATGCATGCTCTCTGCCAATCCCTATATTATAATCCCTATATTATAAAAGATTGTAGATGAATGGTTCACAGAACCGACACGTTGATAAATTAGACACACGTGCAACTCTATGGTATCTTTATTAAGGAAATGTTTCGTCACACAGTGGCTTCATCAGTCCATACACAGGAGAAACTTGAAGAACAGGAGGAGAATGAGGTAATCAGTCCCTCAACCTTGAGTCGATGTGGTCAGTCCATCAATCTTGATGCACATGTGTCTAATTTATCATTATAAAAGATAAATGTGTTTCAGTTAAAAAATTAAACTAACAATTCAATTCCAATTCTCTTCAGGTTTTCTCATCCTACCTATCTCTCCTTTGTTTTGTAATACTGCATTAGGTTTTATTAGGAATATTGTAAATAATGAATGATAAACATGTAAAGGTTTTTGCACATTATTTATTGTTTTTAAAAATCAAGAAAATATACATGTTGATTGTAAAGTTTTTACATTACAGATAATGAGGGGATCGTAAATAGAAGCAAAGCAAGGAGAGGCTGTGAAGAATGGACCAACAAGCAACCAGCAAATGAGAAAATTACAGATTTGACAAATAAATTTTTGCATCATTCCAAAAATGATAAGTTCAGATGTTTGCAAAAAGACAGTGACTTGCTGGGTATAAATATGACGAACTTATCTGATGCTGAAAGTGACAGAGGTAGCATAATATCTTTTTTGGATTTTGAAGATATGGATGTCGCTGTAGAAGTAATTAATAATAACAGGGAAGGTTCTCTACAGACACATCAAAGCTCTGATTTAGGCTCTACAAAACTTAAACCGAATCAGAGGCAAACCTCTTCAGAAAGTCATATAATGAAGCAAACATCTCAGGATATTTATATAAAATGTGAAGATGATGAAGCTGGAATCGTTGATAAAAATGAATTAGAATTTTTATTAGCACCAAGAATATCCATTGCAAGTAATGCCAGGAAAAATGAATCATGCTCAAAATCTTATTGCTTTGAGAAGGAGCTGGATCAATGTTCGGTGAAAGAAGAATCCATTGTCAGCCCAAATATACATGGAACTGTTATCAGCACTGCAGACAGAATGAATCAGAGGGATGGCAAACCAGGAACTTTCTCAAAGCATAAACCATCAAATGCATATTTTGTCCCCTCATTTACTTCTGCATCAAATGTTGCTAAATCTAATACAGATGAGAATTATCCTAAAAACATTGAATTAAAGTCATGTTTAAATAAAAAAAAGAAAGAATTTAGGAAGCACAGACATGCTGCACTGCTTGGTGATTTGAATAGCAAATCAGACTCCACTGATAATGAGCACACTCGTCTTGCATTCAACAACAGCGAGGCACAGAATCAATTAAATAATGTAAACAATATAACAAGGCACCCTTGTAACAATGTAATAGCACTTCCTCAAGAATATTCAGTAGATTATATTGGAATAGATCATGATACTCCTAATAATTCATCACTAGTATCTGATATGACAAATGCATATAAGGAAATGCAAAAGGTAAATTGTACTATACATGATTCTGCACTAGGCAATGATACTCGTAAGAAAAACAAAGTGGAACTTCCAGTTGGAGAGATAGGTCTTCAGAATGCAACACATTACAGTACTTATGCTTTACATGATATATGTAATGCAGCTCATAATAAATATTCTTTTGTTAATCCAAGAAGTAAAATAGTTGTAATGATGAATCCAGAGCAGCAAAATGAATTATTGACTTTTAAAAGGGGTAAATATATTCATGTTCTAAATCAAAATAATATCAGTCAGAAATATAATGGAAATAGAAATGAACCTGGAATAATTTCAAGTCAAGAATTAGAGTCTAATTTAGTGTTACCCACAAATTTTGATACCCAGTTAATTGTAAGTGCAGATTGCTCTGTGCCAATTCATAAAGTTGCCATTGCTGAGAAGTCTAATGCTTGCCTACCAAAAAATATGCTCAGAGCACCTTACAATGATAATGATGCAAATCACTTGAGAACTGTGGAAAGTCAGTCACATGGTAAACATGGTGAATTCTTTATTAAATCTAGTTTAGAAAATCAGTTGAACTATTTGCAGTTTAAGCCTTCCCCAAGTGAAGTCTTGGCACAAGAAAAAAGTATTACTGCCCCAGGAACCAGTGTTGATGCATACTTAAATATCCCTCAGAGTGTCTTGCACCATTGGTCTGTTAACACTGTATCTCAACAGCAAGCAGAACAAAACAATCAAGAAAGCATGAATGTGACAGATAGCAATAGTTCTTCCATTACAATGGAAATAGCATCTTTCTCTGGTAGCGGGAATAGCACCTTACCTCAACATCATAAACATCCTTATGGGCTAATAAATGTTGTACCTCTGGAGAAGTTGATGCCTTCAAACAAGCAAGTAAATACTATACCTTCATAATAAGGTTGCTTCCTATGGCAATAAAGAATGTACTACATGAGTGTACCAAATTACAAAATACACCTGTTTTCCATGTTTATAACATTTTATCTCAAAGATTTTGTACAGTACCTTTTACTAGACTTGTTTATAGCAGCCCTTGACAGAATGTACCATCACATTCTAACCTGAACAGAATAGATGAGGTGTGCAAAATAATTACAAGAGAAAGAAAATAACCCCTTGGCTTCATCTTTGTAATGTCATGTTTTTTTAGGATCATTCACAGGGGCAGTTTCACACATAGGCAAAACTTTATAATTTTTTATTACTTTGTGAAAATCAGTCTTTATTACAGATAGTTGTTATAAAATATTTCAAGGTAAACAGTTCTAAGAAGCACCTGGCTTTGATAACTTTGTTAATCCATAATAGGTTACCTAAATATAAGTAAGGCATATTTGTCAGGTTAATATTGGTGCAAATATTTTAAACTTATGTCAGTGAATAAGTTAACTTACCAAAAATTTGATTTTAAAATAAAATCTATTCAGCAGTTCTGCCTAAATAGCCAAATATATTATTTATAAAATATGTAAACATATATATATGTGTTCTAGGTAGTAGGTTGGTAGACAGCAACCGCCCAGGGAGGTACTACCGTCCTGCCAAGTGAGTGTAAAACGAAAGCCTGTAATTGTTTTACATGATGGTAGGATTGCTGGTGTCCTTTTTTTCTGTCTCATAAACATGCAAGATTTCAGGTATGTCTTGCTACTTCTACTTAAACTTAGGTCACACTACACATACATGTACAAGCATATATATGTATGTATATATACACATCCCTCTGGGTTTTCTTCTATTTTCTTTCTAGTTCTTGTTGTTGTTTTTTTCCTCTTATCTCCATGGGGATGTGGAACAGAATTCTTCCTCGTAAGCCATGCGTGTTGTAAGAGGCGACTAAAATGCCGGAGCAAGGGGCTAGTAACCATTCTCCCGTATGAAATTACTAAATTTAAAGAAAACTTTCGTTTTTCTTTTTGGGCCACCCTGCCTTGGTGGATAACGGCCGGTTTGTTGAAAAAAAAAAAAAAAAAAAATTATATATGTGTACTAAATTATTTGTGGTTGCATGAATCATGGATTGAGCTTTAGCTCTTGGGCTATTCCTTTTAACCCTTTGAGGGTCCGTCCCGTAGTTCTATGGCTTTGAAGCCTGGGTCCAAGCCATGGTTCTATGCATGAGCTCAGTCCTTATATAAGGATGACTCTGTATGCACCAATAAAATCCTGCAGAACAGTGTATAATGAGGAAAAAACTGCGACCCTGCTTTTGGATTAAAACAGCAACTTTGCAGTGTATTTTTGTATGGTTTTTACAGTTATATTTGCAGTTTCTTGGTGTCATGTGATAGAATGGAAAATATACATTACCGAAATAGAGATGATTTTGATTGGTTTTAATACAGAAAATAACTTGAAATTGAGCTCAAATTAGGTGAAATGTTCGATTTTTGCCAATGTTCAAGCATAAACAAATGATATCATGGGTCCAATGTGTGTCAACTAGTGGGTCTAATATACGTTCACGAATGTGCTGATGTTATTTATTCAATTATATATTACAATATTGCATAACAGTAAATCTTCAATTTTGTGGTGTGAATATAAGTTCTTTATGTAAATAAAAAAAATGGAATTCATCTGTTAAGCCTGGAAACATAACTAATAAACAGAAGAAATGTTATTTTAGTGCCAGAAATGCCTGCATTGTTTATTCTGGATCCTGTTTTGAAATTGGAATATTTTGAACTTTGTGTGAAATTGGCCAAAATACCAATTTCCAATCACTTTATTGTGTAGTTGAAATAGTTGATTGGGTAATTTCTTGTGCTAAATAGATAAATTGGAACACATACTAATGAAATAGCTAAGAATTTTGTCTAATCTAATAATGTAATTGGCTGAAAATAGGACTCAAAGTCGGCAAAATCGCTGATGCTTAAATATCGCTGAAATGGCATAATTCGCAAGAGCATGTTTTCATTAGTTTTTGATCAAATTTTGTACTTTTTATTTTATTACCTTCAGAAAAAGATTCTCTATCATTTCATAAGAAAAAATAATAATAATTTTTTTTATTTCTTGGACCCTGTGGGGAATTTTCAGATTGGGAGTCTGGACCCTCAAAGGATTAATCATGTACTGTATATACATGCATGCATGTATTGATGTATGTATGCATGTACTGTACATGTGATTGCAGAGGGGGTCAAGTCTTAGCTCCTGGCCCTGACTCAGTTTGCCACTAGCCTTATTCACTCCATGCCTCCTAGCATACATATATGCATGTATGCATGTTCAGGTGCATGTATGTACATTTTTTTAAACGTCGGCTGTCTCCCACCGAGGCAGGGTGACCCAAAAAGAAAGAAAATCCCAAAAAAGAAAATACTTTCATCATCATTCAACACTTTTAACTCTCACACATAATCACTGTTTTTGCAGAGGTGCTCAGAATACAACAGTTTAGAACCATATAGGTATAAAGATACACAACATATACCTCCAGACTACCAGTATCCTAAACCCCTCCTTTAAAGTGCAGGCATTGTACTTCCCACTTCCAGGACTCAAGTCCGGCAATATAAAAATAAACAGTTTCCCTGAATCCCTTCACTAAATATTACCCTGCTCACACTCCAACAGCTCGTCAGGTCCCAAATACCATTCATCTCCATTCACTCCTAACACACTCATGCACACTTGCTGGAAGTCCAAGCCCCTCACCCACAAAACCTCCTTTACCCCCTCCCTCCAACCTTTTCGAGGATGACCCCTACCCTGTCTTCCTTCTACGGATTTATACGCTCTCCATGTCATTCTACTTTGATCCATTCTCTCTAAATGACCAAACCACCTCAACAACCCCTCTTCAGCCCTCTGACTAATACTTTTATTAACTCCACACCTTCTCCTAATTTCTGTACTCGGAATTTTCTGCATAATATTTACACCACACATTGCCCTTAGACAGGTCATCTCCACTGCCTCCAACCGTCTCCTCGCTGCAGCATTTACAACCCAAGCTTCGCACCCATATAAGAGTGTTGGTACCACTATACTTTCATACATTCCCTTCTTTGCCTCCATAGATAACGTTTTTTTTGTCTCTACATATACTTCAATGCACCACTCGCCTTTTTTCCTTCATCAATTCTATGATTAACCTCATCCTTCGTAAATCCATCCTCTGACACGTCAACTCCCAAATATCTGAAAACATTCACTTCTTCCATACTACTCCTCTCCAATTTGATATCTAATTTTTCTTTATCTAAATCATTTGATACCCTCATCACCTTACTCTTTTCTATGTTCACTTTCAACTTTCTACCTTTACACACACTCCCAAACTCGCCCATTAACCTTTGCAATTTTTCTTTAGAATCTCCCATAAGCACAGTATCATCAGCAAAAGTAACTGTGTCAATTCCCATTTTGTATTTGATTCCCCATAATTTAATCCCACCCCTCTCCCAAACAGCATTTACTTCTTTTACAACCCTATCTATAAATATATTAAACAACCATGGTGACATTACACATCCCTGTCTAAGACCTACTTTTACTGGGAAGTAGTCTCCCTCTCTTCTACACACCCTAACCTGAGCCTCACTATCCTCATAAAAAACTTTACAGCATTTAGTAACTTACCACCTATTCCATATACTTGTAACATCTGCCACATTGCTCCCCTATCCACTCTATCATATGCCTTTTCTAAATCCATAAATGCAATGAAAACTTCCCTACCTTTATCTAAATACTGTTCACATATATGCTTCAATGTAAACACTTGATCTACACATCCCCTACCTACTCTAAAACCTCCTTGCTCATCTACAATCCTACATTCTGTCTTACCTCTAATTCTCTCAATAATAATCCTACCGTACACTTTTCCTGGTATACTCAGTAAACTAATTCCTCTATAATTTTTACAGTCTCTTTTGTCCCCCTTTCCCTTTATATGAAGGAACTATACATTTTTTTTTTTTTTTTTTTTTTTTCAACAAGTCGGCCGTCTCCCATCGAGGCAGGGTGACCCAAAAAAAGAAAGAAAATCCCCAAAAAGAAAATACTTTCATCATCATTCAACACTTTCACCACACTCACACATTATCACTGTTTTTGCAGAGGTGCTCAGAATACAACAGTCTAGAAGCATACACATATAAAGATACACAACATATCCCTCCAAACTGCCAATATCCCAAACCCCTCCTTTAAAGTGCAGGCATTGTACTTCCCATTTCCAGGACTCAAGTCCGACTATATGAAAATAACCGGTTTCCCTGAATCCCTTCACTAAATATTACCCTGCTCACACTCCAACAGATCGTCAGGTCCCAAGTACCATTCGTCTCCATTCACTCCTATCTAACACGCTCACGCACGCTTGCTGGAAGTCCAAGCCCCTTGCCCACAAAACCTCCTTTACCCCCTCTCTCCAACCCTTTCGAGGACGACCCCTACCCCGCCTTCCTTCCCCTATAGATTTATATGCTTTCCATGTCATTCTACTTTGATCCATTCTCTCTAAATGACCAAACCACCTCAACAACCCCTCTTCTGCCCTCTGACTAATACTTTTTATTAACTCCACACCTTCTCCTAATTTCCACACTCCGAATTTTCTGCATAATATTTACACCACACATTGCCCTTAAACAGGACATCTCCACTGCCTCCAACCGTCTCCTCGCTGCTGCATTTACCACCCAAGCTTCACACCCATATAAGAGTGTTGGTACTACTATACTTTCATACATTCCCTTCTTTGCCTCCATAGATAACGTTTTTTTGACTCCACATATACCTCAACGCACCACTCACCTTTTTTCCCTCATCAATTCTATGATTAACCTCATCCTTCATAAATCCATCCGCCGACATGTCAACTCCCAAGTATCTGAAAACATTCACTTCTTCCATACTCCTCCTCCCCAATTTGATATCCAATTTTTCTTTATCTAAATCATTTGACACCCTCATCACCTTACTCTTTTCTATGTTCACTTTCAACTTTCTACCTTTACACACATTCCCAAACTCATCCACTAACCTTTGCAAATTTTTCTTTAGAATCTCCCATAAGCACAGTATCATCAGCAAAAAGTAACTGTGTCAATTCCCATTTTGAATTTGATTCCCCATAATTTAATCCCACCCCTCTCCCAAACACCCTAGCATTTACTTCCTTTACAACCCCATCTATAAATATATTAAACAACCATGGTGACATTACACATCCCTGTCTAAGACCTACTTTTACCGGGAAGTAGTCTCCCTCTCTTCTACACACCCTAACCTGAGCCTCACTATCCTCATAAAAACTCTTTACAGCATTTAATAACTTACCAACTATACATGTTCTCTGCCAATCCCTAGTTACCTTGCCCTCTTTCATACATTTATTAAACAAAAATATCAACCACTCTAACACTATATCCCCCCCTGCTTTTAACATTTCTGTCATGATTCCGTCAG